TTGTCTTCTGTTTGGAAGCCCGTTTCCTTGTGATTATGATGATGCCCAGGAATTGTTACATGTGCTTGAAAATCTTCCGAATTCTTAAGGGTACCTAGCCAAAAAGCTGCGTTTGGATATTTTTTGTGTGATCATTATGATGCACGAATTGAACATGTGCATGAAAATCTTCGGAATTCTTAAAGGTACTTTACCATAATGCTGATTTTGGTTCTCAGCGTCTTTTTGTGTGATTATATTATATGATGCACATGAATTGGAACATGTGCATGATGATGATAAGAGTGAAGGGCAATAATAACAAATAAATAATGAAAGAACTATCTCGAAGGGTCCTCGAACTATCTTGCCTGCCACAAGCGTCAATGTTTCCAGAATGCTACTCTAACTCTTAGCCACCAATCTTCCTTATATATAATTGCATAATACGTTTAACTCTTATCCACCAATTCTCATATATAATTACATAATGCATTGAGTTTAATTGACAGGCTTAATTGGCAGTTTTACATGCTTCGTAATTTTATATTGCACAATATTATGCTTTTTAATATGGCTCGAATAAAAGTTATTAAATTTTCTATATCAACTAGCTTAGGTTTGGATTGTCATAATATACATATATTTAATATATTTCAACTATTCCTTGTAAATCTATTTATTGTCTTCTTTTTTATAATGTGGTATTATTTCACTTTCTATATTTTTTCTTTTGTCTATATTATTCTCTTATGTGTTTTAAATAAAAAATTGATAAATAAAACTAATGATGCATTTAAATTAGTTTTCAGAATATAATATAATGTTGTTAATTCACTTAGTTATTTATTGTAAATTGCTATATATTGTTCCTTATTTATTTTTTCCAACTTCAACAAAATATATAAACATTTATAATGTTTTTTTTTTTGTACATTTAATATTTACTGAATATCCGTGTAGCACATATGTACGGTACAAGTATACATACTAAACCTTAATATTTAATAATTAAATCTTCCATCCTATTTAGAGTGCACTGACTCAGCTAATCATATTAACTAAATAATAGGGATAATTGGCGTACGCCCTAAGTCCTAGTAGAAGTAGTCCGTCTTAGCCTTTTTCGAATATAGTTTAAAAAATTGGTCTTTATCAACTCGTGCCCGAAAGCCTTGTCCCTAAGGTAGAAATTCGGGAGTTGGTCACATACTTACTCAGTGTCGAGCCAAACCACATCGTCATCCCAGTGATCAACCAATTTTATTAGAACTTGTGGAACCACTGCCCCATTGCGCCCAATCTCTCGCCAAGCTATCACCTTCTTCTAAATAAATAATGAATCATCTCCCCACAAGTCATCCGAAAATGTAGGCTCAATGGTGTTTTAACACGGACACATGAAAGACTGGATGCACCCTTGTTATATTAGGCAGTTTCAACCGATAAGCAATTTCTCCAAGACGAGCCTCAACTCTAACGACCCAAATAATGGAGGTGCTAACTTAGTGGTCGTGTTATGAAAAGTATCTGCTTTCGAAAAGGAAAAAAATTGACAAATACTTTTTCTCCTACCGCAAACTCCATGTCCCTAAGACGTTTATTCGCTTCATAGATCATGCGTTCTTGAGCACGTTTCAGGTGGAAACTCAAATGGCAAGACCTTATCTTTGTCTTTTAGATCCTCTGCTAATGATCGTGTCCTCACTTCCCCTGAAGGATAGGAGGTGTACGACCATAAACTACCTCAAATGGAGTACTGACCACACTTTATTTAAAACCCGTATTGTAGTAGTTCTCTGGCCAAACCAACCACTTACTCCACTATCGTGGCCTTCCGGAACTAAAAAATACAAATATGTCTCGAAGAAATGATTCAGTGTCTCGGTCTGCCTGTCTATCTCAGAATGATATGCAAAACCCATTCTCAACATTGTGTCTGCCAACATAAACATCTCCTAGAGAGAACTCAAGAACACCGAGTTTATATCTGATACACTTGATGTTGGAATGTTGTACAAACGCACTACAAGGTGTGATAAATCGGGCGGTATATGTGTGTCTCAATCCCAACAAATGACCATAGTTAAAATGTTTATCAACAACCATCAGGATACAATCAAGATTGCCCGAATGGGGAAGGCCAGAAATAAAGTCCAAGCTAATGTCTTCCCAAACTCGATCTGTGATTGTCAACGGTTGTAGCAAGTCTATTGGCGACTTGTTGTCGTATTTGTTTCTTTGACAGATGTCACAACGCGTCACAAAATCCATCACTTGACGCATTATTACTGGCTAGTACACGCTTGCTGCTAAGCATTGATAAGTGCAAAATGCCCTAAGAGTGACCACATGTCGGTGTGGAATGGAATTATGAAATTAATTTATTTGGTGGTCCACTCGAATCTACTAGGAATTACCAAATGACACTTGTAGAAAAAGATTTCCGTGAACAAGGGAGTAATGTGGTGGTGCGGACACGTTAGATTCCAAGGCCGACACAATCATGGGTAACTTTAGATCAAACTAAATAGCCAGTTTTAGTATACTCTAGTCCATCCATGTGCGAATACAAACCAATTTTAGTATACTCTAGTCCTTCCCTGTGGGAATACAGATGGTTGTCAATTCCACATCCTCATCCCTACATTATATAGCGTCAACAGCTTGATTCGAAGTTCAACATGATAAACTATTTCAAATTGTGTTGACCTGTGGGAATACAGATGGTTGTAATGATGTTTCAAGTTGTGTTGACCTGTAGGAGTTATAAAGCGTCATCCCCTGAGATAGGGTCTCCAGTGTTGGACAACCATTACCAATACCATCAACTCCTTCTCATAAGCAGATTTAGCTAAGGCTCGAATAGAAATACTCTTGCTAAAATAAGCCACCGATTGACTTTGTTGCATCAAAACCATAAGAAGCCCTCATCCTGATGCGTCACACTCAATGATAAGTGGTAATGAGAAATCATGCATATTTAAAACTAGGCTAGAAGTTAAGGCTTGCTTCAGTTCTTGGAAAGTCTGTTAAGCCTCAATAGACCAGATCCACTCTCGAGATTTCTCTATTTTTAATAGAGACGTGATGTAACACTCCGCCTAAACTTACTAAAATCAGAGTAAATTTTTCGTGGTTAATATTTGAGAACACTAATTTAATTTTCGAAAACTCATATAACTATTTCAAAAATACTTTTCTAACTGCGGGATGCTACTCAACATAATCTAATCTTTTTCCTTTTTACTACTATGCATGCAACCAAGTAAAATTCATTACTCTAGTAGGCGCCATGAAAGATACTGGAATTAGGCATGCATAAGCTATTATTCTGAACTCTGAAATATAGTTCTGAATACGGAAGCAAATGCAAGTTCAAACAGCACAAAAACAAGCATTAAACAAAACATAAACATTCCAAACATGTTCAATAATACACGACATATGTTATATTTTGGTTAAAATAAAAGTGAGATGAATTACATGCAAAGGTGTTAGGTGAAGTTTATACGTTACATCCATGAGTGTAAATTGAGTTACACAATGCATGAATGTAAGATAAGTTTCATCTCATTGCATGTAATAAGGTGAAGTTTCACAAAGTTGAAACTTATTTATTTAATTAGTTTAGATTAATTGAAAATAAGTTTCAGGTTAAGTTTAATGGTTCTTCATTCAAGAAGATGAGTTGTGAACAATAAAAAGATCATCTTACACTTGTAACCACACATGGCAAATAACACCTATATATACTTCTCTTCTTTGTGAAATCTTATGAAGAAAAGTGAGAAGGCTTGATCAATCCCAAAACCATTTCCATTTTGTGTGTTACCTAAAGATTTCAAAGAGAGAGAGAGGAAATAGAGTTTTTGGACAAAGTTCCAAGGATCTTGTTTGAGCTTTGTATTATATATTATTGGTCTTCAGAGAAATATTGAATAAAGAAAATTTGAGTTTTGTTGAGTGTCTCTTTCTCTATTGTTAGCTATTATTTCCAACAATCAAAAACTCTATTTGCATGGAGACGGAGACGATCAAAATCATGAACCAGGACCTTGTGAAGTTGGATAGGTTTGATGACTCGAATTTCACAAGGTGGCAAGACAAGGTAAAAATTTTCTCACGGCCCTCAAGATATTTTATATCCTCGATCCTACCTTGGGTCCTCTACCAAAGACAAATGAAAATGATACGCTCGAAACTGTGGCTGCATGGATGAAAAGAGAGGAAGACGAGTTAATATGCTGGGGTCACATTTTAAATGTCTTGTGTGATAGGCTATATGATCTCTACACCAATAATTCGGCTAGAGAAATTTGGGAAGCTCTAGAAAATAAATATAAAACCGAAGAAGAAGGTACTAAAAAGTTTTTAATTTCCAAATATTTTGATTTCAATTTTTTTAATGAAAAGCCTTTATTACCTCATATTCATGAGTTGCAAATACTTGTGAATAAATTGAGAGTTTTAAAAATTGAACTTTCGGAGGCTTTTCAAGTTGGTACCATTGTGGTTAAACTACCTTCAAGTTGGAAGGGATACCGAAAAAGGATTCTCCACAATAAAGAAGATTACTCCTTAGAGGAGATTAAAAAACATCTTCGTATTGAGGAAAAATCGAGACTAAGGGATAAAATGATTGATGAGTCCAATGGTGGGGCTAACAAAACAAATATGCATGGCTTCAAAACCAAAACACTTTGCTGATAAAAATAAAAATAAAA